CAGGTCTGAAAACTTTGGAGGGGGTTTTATAGGTAATAAAAATTGCCTTTAAATCCTTATCAGAGAAGTTCAGAACAAAACTGCTAAAACCTCGCCCGAAATAGCAAAAAAGGGAAAAACACTGATAAAAAGGGGGAAACGCAGATATCTCCCAAACCGTAAGGAATTTAGCGAAACAGAGGAAGCGAACCGAAGCCTTCGGCTAGGTTCGAATGGCTCCGTCTCGTCGAGATAGGCGATTTTTATATATAATTCGTCCAATTCTGACTTACGGTTTGAAAGTTACGGCCTATTCTTCGATCCATGCTCAGGAGCTCGCCTGCAACTCAAATTCGCCTGCAGTCCCAAATCCGCCTGCAGACTGCAGACCCAAGTCTGCCTGCAGTCCCAAGCTCGCCTGCAGACTCAGCTCGCCTGCAAGCTCACTTACAGACCCAAGTCTGCCTGCAGACCCAAGTCTGTCTGTGGTCCCAAGCTCGCCTGCAGACTCAGCTCGCCTGCAGACCCAAGTCTGCCTGTAGTCCCAAGCTCGCCTACAGACCCAAGCTGCAGATTCGCCAGCTCACTGTCAACTGCCCACTTGGAGTATGGGAACAGTTACATCAGTGGTCAAATCCCACAAATCAAGGGAGAAAGCATGGCGCTCCTCACCTAGCAAGAATAGGGCGGCTGACAGGACCCCCTAAGTGGTCACATCCCACAGCTAGGGCGGCTGGCTCCCTCACCTCTATTAGTGGTCAAATCCCACGAATCAAGGGATGGCCCATCCCATCCCTTGCCTATTAAAACCCATCTTCAGCCAGCATGAAGGGGGGGATTGGCTGTTGCATATTCTGCTGGCTAATCTCCCAAAGGTTGAACCTGGACTTTTGCCAAAGGCTCCCTCATTTGAGAACTGAAGCTCCGGCAGTAACTTCGATCAGATCGTCTAAGGAAAGCAGACTCGGCACGAGCACCGAGCGAGGCGTCCTATCGCCACCGAGGAACCCACGTTAAACAAGGAGGGCATTCCCTCTGCTTCTGTTATAAACATTTGATTATTAGTTTGTAATAAGCTGTTCTTATCAATACAAACGAGTTCCCTATTTTCGGGAGATCAAAATTTACACCTACAGGTGGTAACGAGATAAATCTAATGGTAGATAAGGCAAACGAGTATGTGACAGATGAGACTGGTATAGAGAATTAGACGTGATTTTAGCAGTAGAGTTGACAGCATATAATTATTCAGATTCATCGTGAGAGTAATAGTTGGTTGATGTATAGACTCGAGGAGGACAATGTCAGATTAGGTGGAGCTTGCAAGCATGCACGACTGAATGACACACATGTTGATGGAGATGGTGGCAATAGCCTTGAAGACGATGAGCACTCATTCGGTCCAAGCCAAGTAATGGAGGAGATGAAGGCATCTAGCTCATAGTGTGGAGTAGGAGAAATATACCGATATGATTCGAAACGAGAGATGAAGGTGGAGTACAAGGACAACAAGTTGGGGAAGGCTGTTGTCAAGTTTAGTTCGGGATGAGAAGCATGGTTGATTTTCTTCTAATGTCAGAGGTAGCGAAGATCTCTTGGTGCGCACAAGAGAGGTAGAGGCGCCACAGCGAGACAGATGAAAGTGAGGGTCATAAGGACATCCCAGTTGGAGTGCAGGTGATTCAATTTAAAGTGTGAAAAGAATAGAAGATGCTAGTCGGAGAGGTAAAGTTTCAAGATGACAATGGTAGATCTTCGAGGTGGCTTGGGAATCAAATCCAAGGTGGAGATTGTTAGGATTGTGTCTTTGATTCTTTGTATAACTTTATGAGAATTAGATAGGGTTAGAGATCTATCATGCTTTGATTCTTTGTATAACTTTATGAGAATTAGATAGGGTTAGAGATCTATCATGATTAGGAGATTGAGTCTCATCATGATTAGGAGTTTAGAGATCTATCATGATTAGGAGATTGAGTCTCATCATGATTAGGAGTTTGAATCCTATTCTAATTAGGGAGTTAGGCTAGAGATAGGGTTTTGATAATAGGAGTTTGAATCACAGTTTGAATCATGATTAGGAGATTGAGTCTCATCAAGCTCACATACATAATCAATTCTCATATTCTCTCCAAAGTCCTCTCCTTCAATCTTTCGCATGTACAAAGACTGCGACACCCTCTCCCCAATAATGTAATTTTTTGCACGGACAAAGACTACGAAACCCCCGCCTCTCGCATAATATTCTTGAATTAGGCTACGCCCTCTACTAACCCTAGATTACAAGAATATTGGCTCTCTCTCTCTCTCTTGCTTGGTTTTTCCTCCAACAATAGAAGAATATATATAGAGAAACCAAAATCCTATCTCTAGCCGAACTTCCTAATTAGAATAGGATTCAAACTCCTAATTATGATGAGACTCAATCTCCTAACCATGATAGATCTATAACTCTATCTAATTCTCATAAAGTTCTACAAATAATCAAAGACACAATCCTAACACCTTTCTCATTTCTCCATCCATTACAATTTTGTTTTCCAGTGGATATGGGTTTGTATTACATTGCACGATCTTTCTTTTTAACAGTTATGATGCAATGCACCAATAATAGTGTCACGCATACTGTCCTGTTTATTTCTCAATTTGAAGAGGATCCCTCTCTCCAAGAAAGAAATCACAGAACTTATTTCCAGCCATTTATTCCATTCTGTTGCTAGATTTCTTACTTTAGGACCACGACTACTACTAACAGATTGTGCTGATAACTTATATGTAACAGAACTAGTTACAGATTAAGATTCCAGTCAATTGTTTGAAAGTTAAAAACTCTACTCTTCGGCTGAGTATGTGAAGCAGGTGTTAGAATGATTGTGAGAACGTTGTTCAAACAAATATTTTTTGTTTGATTAATAGCAAACTCTTATTTTGCCACTGATTTTTGTGAGATGATATATTTCATGTGTAAACAGGTACGAACAAGATGCGGTTCGAAATGATGCAAAAGTGAACACGAAAGTTGATTTCAACATTCGAACTATCGATGGTCAAGATGCACCTATCGATGATCAAGTATCTCCTCAATGGTTATAGGAGCCAATCGGAGAAAAGCAGAAGCAGGAGTTAGCACCATCGATGGTCAACAATGACTTATCGATGGTCATAGGGAACCATCGGTGATTACAGGAAACAATCAAAGTAATCCAGAAATCGGAATCAGCATCATCGATGGCTACAGGAGAACCATCAATAATCACCAGGGACCATCGATGGTCATGATCCACCATCGATGATTATGATGGATTTTAGCGACTTTTAGGCTTTAACCTTAGCCGTTCATCGATCCATTTTATCTCCTATTTGCACTCAGATTTGGGTATCTTTTTCATGTCCTATCAAAGTCTATTTAAGGAGAGTTGAAGATCATAATTATAACGAAGTTCAAGGAGGTAAATATAAAAAAAAGGAGAGATCTTTGTTCTAGGGTTTGAGAGAGAGAGAGAGAGAGAGAGAGAGAGAGAGAGAGAGAGAGAGAGAGAGAAGAGAGAGAGAGAGAGAGAGAGAGAGAGAGAGAGAGAGTTGATCAAATCCCCTGAGTCTCATTCAAATTCTTCTCGGTGCACTTTTCATCAGAGTGAGAAGGAGTGCCTTGTGCTTACACCTCTATATCATTTCTTCACGAATCTTCATCTTCATCGATTTGAAGAAGGGTTTGATAAAAGGGCTATAAGATTATTCTTTTTGTGCTTTAATTATTTTATTTGGTTGTATTTCAAACTTGTGAGTTTGACGGTTTACTCACGCCAGGATAATTAAGGGTTGGGCTAGCTAGAGTCATGGTTTCTTCTGGTCATTGTGAAGAGTTAGGTTTGACGACTGATTTCATGTAGATTCTAGGGTGTGGTCTTTGAATCCTACTGAATCAGGTTATGATTCAATTGGACTATGATCATAGTGAAGAAGACCTTTCGCTAGAAGGAAGAGTAGACGTAGGATTATTATTCGAACCACTATAAAAATATCGTGTTTTCCTATGTTGATCTGCTTTTAGTTTTTTATTTTTATTTATTTTCACTGCATTTTCTGAGTCTTGTCAAAAATTATAGCAATATTATTCACCCTCTTTAAGTTTGCATCCAAGTTCCAACAGCAGGACCATCAGGAGCCGTTGATCAAAAGATATTTAGGGTAGATTTTCTTAGGGTTTGATTTACGCTTTGTAGATCTCCGTGGTTTTATTTTGTTAGAGATTTTATTTTTGTTTTCCTTTTATTAGGATTTGATTTGATTTTTAGATTTAGTTTTTTTATATAAATAAAGTTGTAATCCTCTATAAGAAATAGATTATAGACTATTATAATTAAAAAAATTAAGTTATGAGAGTTTTTTCTTGAACATATGTGAGGTCTAGTTATATCCAAATTCTTCACTTTAAATCTTTCCCTGCGTCAAATCTCATTTCCAATCTTAGCCTTCAATTCCAAAATTCTTCCAAAAATCCTAATCCTCAAAAAGATCTCACAAACAAAAAAAACAAAAACAAAAAAACAAAACCCAAAAAAAATCGACGAGGAACGTTACTGTTCACTGATGAACAGTACACCAAAAGTTCGTCTGCGTGAACAGTGATTGTACTACTTCTCGTTCACCATTCGAATATCGACTCGCCAAATCTCCTCCGATCGACTCTCAATGAGCTATGATCCGTTATTGCCAAAGCCTTATAACACAGCTCTAAAAAGTTATTAACGACTTAAAAATCTATTATCTCCTCCCTTTCAGATCCCGATTAGATTCGGGTACCTACCAAAGTACACAATATCGAAAACCTCGTACTTTTCAATCGGATCCCGATTGGCATTGAGAGCCTCATACGTTTCGATCGGATCCCAATCCGCGTCGAAAGCAGTACATTTGCGAGCCCTTGACATTCGGATCGGAGAACTCCATCACGGTCCATCTCAGTATGAGTGTAACTTTAGAAATACTTGGAATCAAGAGCAAAAACAACTTTAAAGTAATCATATCAGAATTTCCACACGTCTTTACCATTATAAGAACTCACATAAGATAAACACACTCATACTGCTACTCATTCTCATTTAAAACTGAACTTTTAGTTCTAGCACGTACATCAAGATACAATACAAGCACACAACAGAGATACTCGTGATATATATACTTATTTGCCAAACAGGGATTTGATCCACCAAATGCCCTTGGTATCCGTAGGGCCTACCTCTGCCTCCGGAGGAGGGTCAGCTTGTGGTGTCTTATGGAGCTTTTTAACATCATATCCTTCTTCTACTGCTTTTTGGACTAGCTGGTTGTAGGTATCCTCATCCAAGTGAGTCTGCCTGCATAATATCTGCAAGCACACGAATTCCATAAGTTAAGATGGGTTTTATTTTTTAAGAACCTATTATTGAATCATGATAAGATAGGTTTGAAGCATTATTTCTTTCTTTTTTTTTTACACACTAGCGAATTTTAGAAAGAGAACTAGATTAAGCGATGACGAACCGATATTTAGATTGGAATCACTTAATTTAATAGAGGAGATGCCCCCGAGTAGAACTGAACGGAAGAAACAACATTCATGTAGCCGACCCTAAAAAATTGGGATAAAATGCTCTGTTGTAGTTGTTGTACTAGGTAAAGCAACACCTTGTTCAGCACATTGCACAGCCCTTCAACTGAATTATATATGTGGATATAAACCTTTGTTTATTTAATTGTAAAATCTACACTTATATACAATTGAAACAGTCTGATTTCCATTCTAATATGAGCGATGCTAGGACAACCTCTGTTTAGGGGCTGTTTGGTTGTAAGTTTTTATTATGTAAAAGGATGGAAAGTGTAAAAAAGTGTGTCTCAATGTCAGCTTTCCTCCTTTTTAATTGTTTGTTTGTAGTTATGAAAATAGTGTAAAGTGATTTACTATGCTGATGTGGCATGGATTCACAAATCCCTTCAAAATGGTCTGATTTTGAAGGAAAGCTGACATATGCGTCAGAAGTCATGGGGCTAGGCCAATGGAATCATTTGAGTAGGGACCACACAATAACCACTTTTTACACTTTCCAAACAAACAATTAAAGTTACATTTTGCAAACAAAACAAGCAATTTATGATTCCAATGGAATAAAAAACAAACAAAAAAAAGTTGCTCAGCGAAATTGATAAGATGGATAACAACTTTTCAAGTTGTGTCATAAATACACAACTTTATCAACAACAACCAAACAGCCCTTAGCGATTTCTGGCATCGCTCACGGGCACGTGACTATATAGATATCCCAATCCTAGACCTATACCCCCAAACCCCCTGTACTGAGCCCTACACCCTAACCAATCACAACGCGGGTGTCTGACACTTGCGGGTGTCCTTCAAATTTCCCTTCTAATATTTGGCGACAGGCAGAGTGTACTTATAGCTGCTTGTACTGTTTAGTATCTTTGTCCCCAGTCCATGGGCTACTGCTCGTGAAGGGATAGAGGTGTACTTAGCAGTTCTAGGCGAGAGCTTGCAAGTTATTAGGTTAAATTTGAAGTACCACTTGAGGCACCAAAAAAAAAATTCTCATTTTAAGCAAAATTTCAGCATAATTTGATAAAAATCATATATTAAGGCACGTTTTGGAGAATGCTGCTCTAGCTTGTTCACTTCATATAACTACTCTGTCTGTATTATTGACTGCAGGATATTTCAGAAATTTTAACACCACCATTAGTATAGTCCACGATAGACTTGCGCAAAATGCTTCAGTTCACAATAAATTCATAAAAATACCCTAAAAATTAATTTATATACATCTACACGCTCATCTTCATTAAACCAACGGACCCAAAAAATAATAATAATAAAGTTAATTGCAAGAAAAAACATACCCACAAATTCTTCCTCGAGGGCTCCCCAACAAGCGCAACCTGATACCCCTCATCAATATAAAGCACCCAATAGTTTCCGACCACCGGAATCACCGGCAAAAACGGCGGCAGGTAAAACTTCACCTTGAGCTTTGCCTCGTCACTGTTGGGTTCAGCTTTATACGCAGTCCCCTCGATGGAATCCCTCTTCCCATTGCTCCATGTCTCGTTGAGCACGTGCACCGTGGCCTTGTCGGGGTTGAGCGTGTAGGTGGCGCGTGTGTTCTCGCCGTTGCTGGGCTGGAAGAAGGAGGGGAAGGAGGCGATCTCGTACCATCGGCCCATGTATCGCTCTACGTCCAGGCCTTTCACTACTGTCATCTCCTTTGTGTTCTTGCCCATTGTGGATTTATTTTCTTCTTTTTTTTGTCTCTTTTTTTTTCCTTTTTTAATTTATTTGAACAGAGGTTGGATATGGAGTATGTATAGGGAAATGAGGATAAGTTTGGGGAGACGTGGAGGGATTATGAGCGTTTGTGTTGAGAAGTTTGGTGTCGGGATGTTGGTGGTGGGGTTCAGAGAGGAGGTTCTAGAGGTTAATTAAGCATTCAAAAATTACTTATTACCGGCTTTAAAAGGTTTATCTGAGTGGAGTGCTGATGGAATTTGAAGAACACAACACTCTACACAAAGGAAACTTTTATTGATAGAACACTTGAGAATACAACACTTGTTCTTACAAGAACACCTCACTTTCACACAATTCCTTTATTTTGGTGGACACTCACACAAGGCTACACTACACACTCAAGCTCTCAAGCTCACTTCTTGCTTGCTTGCTTGCTTTCCCAAATGAGAGCACAAGACCCCTATTTATAGTTGTTTAAGAGGGCTAGGAAGTGTGTAGAAGAGTTAATCCTAGCCATACATTACTAAGAAGTTTCTAGAAGAATAAATACTAGCCATACACTTGTATCTTCCTAGAAACTTCATGGTAGATATTTTGTAGGATGTTACTAGAAAGAAGTTCTAGAAAGTTGTTCTAGAATAATCTAAGTTGGTGAGGAATTCTAATACTCCCCCTCATCACCAACTTTCATTTCTCTCAAGTCCAAGCTTCTTCTTAAGCTTCAAAAATGTCTCTGTCTTTAGTGGCTTGGTGAAGATGTCAGCGATTTGGTCTTCAGACTTGCAATATGACAGCATCACAGTCTTCTTTTTAACTTGATGTCGGATGAAATGATATCTTGTCTCTATGTGTTTGCTTCGTCCATGTGCTACCGGATTTTTGGCAAGTGCAATAGCTGACTTGTTGTCGATGAGAATCTCTGTCGGTGCTTCTTGTTGGTGTTGCAATTCCTTCATCAGACTCCTGAGCCATATTGCTTGACACGCACATGTCGATGCTGCTATGTATTCTGCTTCGCAACTTGATAGAGCGACGACAGACTGCTTCTTTGATGACCATGAGAATGTTGCTGATCCGATATTGAACATGTAGCCAGATGTGCTCTTTCTTTCATCTAAATCTCCACCATAATCGCTGTCGGTGTAGCCGACTAATCTTGAATCTGCACACTGTGTATAAAATAATCCTTGATCAATACTTCCTCGGACATACCTGAGAATTCTCTTGGCTGCTTTGAAATGCTCCTGTCTTGGCTCCTCCATATATCTGCTCACCAGTCCTACCGCGAACACTATGTCGGGCCTGGTGATGGTTAGGTAGCGCAAGCTCCCGACTAAACTCTTGTATAGAGTTGGATCAATATAGCTTCCTGGTGTGTCTCGCCTCAGCTTCACTCCGACTTCTGCAGGAGTTGCGACTGGATTGCAGTTGCTCATGTTGAACTTCTGAAGGATATCCTTTGCATACTTCTTCTGAGAGATGAAGATTCCTTTCTCTGATTGCGACACTTCTACTCCAAGAAAGTATGACATTTCTCCAATGTCAGTCATCTCGAACTCCTTGATCATATTCTTTTTGAACTCCTCGAACATTTTCGGATTGTTGCCGGTGAAGATCATGTCGTCCACGTAGAGACATACGATCATGATGTCTTCATCCTTCTTCTTGGTATAGAGAGAGTGCTCATACGGGCTCCGATGGAATCCGTTCTTCTGGAAGTATGCATCGATTCTGGCATTCCATGCTCTGGGCGCTTGCTTCAGTCCATACAATGCCTTCTTCAGCTTGTAGACTTTGTCTTCTTGATTCTTCACCTCGTACCCTGGTGGTTGCTTGATGTAGACTTCTTCTTCTAAGTAGCCGTTCAGGAATGCAGACTTCACGTCCATCTGGTAGATCTTCCACCGGTTCTGTGCTGCCAATGCGATAATGAGTCGGATGGTGTCGATCCTCGCGACTGGTGCGAACACTTCTTCATAGTCAACTCCTTCTCGCTGACTATAGCCTTTTGCAACAAGCCTGGCCTTGTACTTCTCGATTCCGCCATCTTGATTTGTCTTTGTCTTGTACACCCACTTTACTCCGATTGGTTTATGGCCTTCAGGTAAGGTAGTGAGCTCCCATGTGTCATTTCTCTTGATTGCCTCGATCTCGTCATCCATGGCTTTTCTCCACTTATCTTCTTGAGCAGCTTCTTCATAGCTGACCGGATCACATTCTGCAAACAAGCAGAATAGTGTGTAGTCATCCATCATCTCGACAGGCTCTGTATCGTCGTACAGATCTCTTAGGCTTCTCATCCTCCTTGTTGCTCCCCCTGAAGAGCTTCCTTCACTTGAGCTGGATGATGTCGGCGTTGATGTTGGGGTTGATGGAGCTGGACTATTAGGTGGACTTTGTTCTGGTCTTCCAACCTCCTGCAAGTCATCATCATTATCTTCAAAGAACATACCTTTAATATTTTTATCTTCATCGGTCCATTTCCAATAATCTTCTTCATCGAACTCCACGTCTCTTGAAATGATCATCTTCTTTGTAACTGGATTGTAGAGCTTGTATGCTTTTGTCCTCCTCTCGTACCCAACGAATATGCACTTTTCTCCTCGATCGTCCAACTTCTTTCTTTTCTGCTCCGGGATGTGTGCATATGCAATACACCCAAACACCTTCAGGTGGTTGACACTTGGCTTGATGTTGCTCCACATCTCCAATGGTGTCTTGAACTTGACGCTCTTTGTCGGACATCTGTTGAGGAGGTAAACTGCACAGTCCACGGCTTCAGCCCAGTAAGTCTTTGGCAGGTACTTGCTCTTCAACATGCTTCTGACCATATCAAGAATGGTACGATTCTTCCGCTCTGCTATGCCATTCTGCTGTGGTGTGTAGGCGGCAGTGAGTTGATGAATTATCCCGTACTGCTTGTTGAAATTGTTGAATGCCTTCGAAGTGTATTCTCCACCTCGATCTGATCGGAGCACTTTGATGTGGTACCCACTTTGCTTTTCTACCATCTCCTTGAATTCTTTGAATTTCTCCAGAGCTTCGGATTTCTCCTTCAGGAAATAAACCCAAGTTTTTCTGCTATAATCATCAATAAATGTGAGAAAATACCTGTTTCCTCCAAGAGAGATGACTTCAAATGGTCCTGCAATATCTGTGTGGACCAATTGTAGCAACTCTGTTGCTCTTCTTGACTTTCCAACTTCGAAACTTCTTCTATGTTGTTTGCCCTTCATACAGCCTTCACATAGCTGGTTCGGATGGTTGATTTGCGGCAATCCTTTTACCATTTTCTCCTTCCATAGAAGATTCAGGCCACTGAAAGCGAGATGCCCGAATCGTAGATGCCAGAGCCAAGTCTCGTCTTTTATGATTGACTTCAAGCACTTGACAGGGTCAGCATGAATATTTAAGGTAAACAGTCTATTTCTAGACATGTTCACCTTTGCAATAACTTCATTTTTATTTTTAATAGTGAGGGCAAGGTCTTTTAGATGTATATCATAGCCTCTTTCAAGGAGCTGGCCTAGGCTCAAAATATTATTTCGTAATGCTGGAACATAGTAGACATCAGAGATGTACCTGTTCTCGCCCGTCTTTGTCTGGATCATTATATTGCCCTTGCCTTTCACTGGAATCTTTGACTGATCTCCAAAGGTGACATCTCCTTGTACCGTCTCGTTCAGCTCGGTAAAAAACTCCTTGATGCCGCACATGTGGTTACTGGCACCTGAATCTAGATACCAGATATCTTTATTCTTGCTTTCGCTCTCCTGGTACGTCAACAGGACTGTTGAAGTGTCTGCCTGCTCCCTTTCTACAAAGTTGCTTCTTTCTGCCACTTGATTTGATTTCTCCCAACATTCGTAGCTGAGATGACCGTATCTCTTACATTTGTAACACTGTGGCTGAGATCTGTCCTCATGGTAACTTCTTCCTTGTCCTCGTCCTCGTGTGCCACGACCTCGTCCTCGATCGAATGATCGTTCACGATCTCTATTTCGATCTTGATTTTCATGGCCTCCTTGGTACTGTCTCCTACGACCTTGCTGGAAGTTTGAGCCACCTCGAAATGAGCCTCTGCCTCTGTAGCCTCCACGTCCTCTTCGACTATCTTCTTTGATAGTCATCTTACTCTGCAAGGCTTGTTCTAGATTCTCCGCTTGATTTGAACTAATGTTTATATCTTGTTCATAAGCTTGCAGAGAACCTTGCAGCTCATCAATAGATACTTCGGAAAGATCTTTAGACTCTTGTATTGCCGGAATAATATATTTGAATTTAGAGTCTAAAGTCCTAAGTATCTTCTCCATAATTCTTACATCATTAATTGCTTCTCCATTTCTCTTCATTTGATTTGTTATTGTCTGAACTCTACTAAAATAATCCGATATTGATTCTGTAGCTTTCATCTTCAAATTTTCAAATTCAACTCTTAATGCTTGGAGGCGTACCTTTTTGGCTCTTTCCGCACCTTGATAGGATTTTTGTAAAATCTCCCATGCTTCTTTAGAGGACAGGGCATTGGAAATCTTCTCAAACGCAGATTCATCTACGCCTTGGAATATTAGGAACAAAGCTTTTTTGTCTCTTTTTCTGACCTCCTTCAACTCACTCTTCTGAGTGGCGGTGAGAGTTGCTTCTGCTGCAGGTGACTCCGGTTCAGTGTAGCCATTCTCTACGAGATCCCACAAGTCTTGCGAGCCGAGCAAGACTTTCATCTGGATACTCCAGTTGTCGTAATTGGTCTTCATCAGCTTCGGAATCTGTGGCTGGATCATGTTCGCCATCTCGTACACGAGCACCTTCGATTGGCCCGGCTAGATCGAACTTTGCTCTGATACCACTTTGATGGAATTTGAAGAACACAACACTCTACACAAAGGAAACTTTTATTGATAGAACACTTGAGAATACAACACTTGTTCTTACAAGAACACCTCACTTTCACACAATTCCTTTATTTTGGTGGACACTCACACAAGGCTACACTACACACTCAAGCTCTCAAGCTCACTTCTTGCTTGCTTGCTTGCTTGCCCAAATGAGAGCACAAGACCCCTATTTATAGTTGTTTAAGAGGGCTAGGAAGTGTGTAGAAGAGTTATTCGGAAAAATTATTGAGAAGAAAGTTATAGGTGCTGTAAAGGTTTTAGATAGCTTCGAGAAGAAAGTTATTCTACCTATGAATATCTTTGTTCAATTACTTGTCCGGTTTAATGTAGTAAGCCCATGAGAGAGATTAATCTAGTTCATCTCCGTTTATTAAACCTCTACGACTATATAATTTTTGAATCGACAAAATGCGAACAATGAAGCGAAACCTTTGATAACTGTGTATTCCTGGATAAAAAAACCAATGAAAATTACAGACTTGGGGTAAAATCACGGACTCGTGTTTCTTGCTTCGATGTGGGTATCTCCACACTCAGGTGCTTTGCTTGATGAGCAAGGAATGCTTTGGGCAACAAGACATATAGTCCACTAGCTAATTTCTTGCAAGTGTGGTTTTCAGTGTTTTTGTGGAACTCTGTAGATCAAGTATCCGTTCTTGTGGAGCAAAGACATTCTAGGGTTGGTGACATATTTTGTTTCTTTTCTGGGTGAAAAAGATTTATGTCTCAAACCTTCACGTTTGAACTATTTTTTTATATCATCTTACCCGCTAAGCTATTTAATTTCGTCCATATTCTATCACCCAAATTATATTTGGTCTCACTTTAGTTGTTGAACCATCACTTTCGTTACCTATTTGGTTCGTCCATATTCTATCACCCAAATTATTTACTAATAAATCTTGAACTATCACTTTCATTACCTAGTTAACTACTTTTTTCATTATTTTGCGGGTATTTTAACTGGATCACGTGTAGTTTAGAGGGTAAGATGGGCTGAAGTAATAACTCAAGAGGTAAGTTGGAACTGAAAATAGTTAATAGGGTAAAAAAAGAACGAATTTATCGGTTCGGGGTATAAAGATGAGACTGAAAATAGTTCAGAGAGTATGGAAGGACAAAACGAATAGTTTATAGGGGCAAGCAAGTTCTGAAGCCAAAGATTTATTAGTAACTATTTGACTATCTGTTACACTCTTAATAAACTTACAATAGATGCTGAGATTGCTTGGGAGTTGGATTTTAAGATGTCCCGGACTACAAGTGAAAACAGACGAATAAGAAGTATCCCCCCCCCCCCCCCAAACCTCGAGAAGAAAAAAAAGCAATAATGTCATAATTTCTCAATCTTAAATAAGTATCTGGTCCCTATTTTATGACTTAAAATTGAACTGCATCCAAACGGCTAGCTTATACTGATTGCTGTTTGTTTTGATGATATAATTGAGAAATGATTCAAATCCATTCCATTTATGTGTTCAAATTACTCCCATTACTAGTACGTTGGGCTCAAGCATGAGCTAGAGTTAGGGGCTGTTTGGTTCTTTTTTTTGGGTGGTAAAAGTGGGGAAATCTGTCAAAAATGTCAGCTTTTTGACAGCTTTCCCCCAAAATCACCCCTTAAAAAGGTGATTTTGGGGGAAAGCTGCCAAAAAGCTGACATTTTTGGCAGCTTTCTTCTCTTTTACCACCCAAAAAAACCTATCCAAACAGCCCCTTAATGACAAAGGTACAAATGGACTCGGGCCTAGAAACAACTAAAAAGGCCCAGTTTTTGTAGCTCGAAATATTTTGAGTTAGAGTTGGAATCAACATTTTAGTACACTTAAAATATTTTTACGCATTCATGACACAGCTGAAAAAAGATGATTATACTTTCTAATGGAGAATAATTGTATTGCTATGGACCCCCTTCTTTATCTACAAACCTATAGTTTTTTCGTATTCAAGTTAGTGGCAAACTACATTATTATTCGTGTAGCTTTCTTGGGCCGAGAAAGAGCCTCAGTGTCCACTAATGTTGGGCTTCAAACCCCTGTATAACTAAAAGATAAGGAGAGAGACAATTTAATTTTGGTCCCACTATAATTTAATTTGCCTGTCGGTGGCCGCAGAGCGCTTATTAGAGAGTTCACATTTAATTGTGAATGGTTCCCTGAAATATGCGAGCTGTTATTCACCAAATTCATAATAATTTATTTAGTTAACTTACTTATCAAGACCAATTATAACTAGACTAACACTAATCTGATTTAGCTTGCAAATTGCCAAGCTCATACTTGTAGTTTTAAGACGAACTTTAAAAAAAAAAAACTACTAGGTATAATTCCCCATCGTTTCAGTAAAAAGTTAGCTGGTTTAAAGTTAGGTCGCACTCCTCAAAGAAGTTAATTAAACATTAAAAAAAAAGGTCTAATAAAGTTTCCACCATATTCTCACTTTATCAGAATTTTCCTGCTCATCAGTCTTCACTTCTCCGCTCTCTGTCTTCTCACTGTAAACTTCTGTTCTAAAAAAAGAGATCAATCAGATCTATCCATCAATCAAATAAGAAAAAAATATAGCAGTAGAGATCAAAGAAAGTGATGACGAGTAGGCGCGCAGACTCTGGTGCTTGTCTGAGATGCTGCCTCGTGATCTTTGCAGTGGCCTCAGCTCTCTGCGTCTCTGGCCCAGCTCTCTACTGGAGATACAAGAAAGGGTTCGGACATAACAGCAAGATTTCTTCATCTTCTTCTTGCGCCCCTTGCATCTGCGATTGCCCTCCTCCTCTCTCCCTCCAGAAGATTGCTCCTGGTAAATTTTACCTTTTCTTGGCCTCTTTTTTCTTGTTGATTCAGCGATTAGATGTAGATCTGAGTCTTTTGAGAGGTACCCATTTTGTGATTTTTTTTTTGGGGGGGCTTGGAATTCGGTTTTTGTTGTGATTGACGAGAAACCCATTATTGGATACGAGGTTATGAGTGGATTTGAGAGAACCCCATTATTGAGTTTTTTTATTTATATTGAATCGATCTGTTTTTAAATTAGATCTTGGAGAACCTGATATGGGTTCTTTTGTTGAGATTGGGGGCTTTGTTTGCTGGCATGGTCCTTATGAAGTACCCTTCTGAATAATTATTGCCTTGTAATGGATAGAAAAATAATGAGAAACCATTTTGGTATTTGACCTTGAATAAAATTGGGGTTTCCGTTTCAGTGGGTTTTGCACTTTGATTCTTTGTTTCTATTATGACTAGAACTTATTAGGATACACGCCAACAAGAACGTGGAATCACAGAATAAAATTAAAATTAGCAGACAAATTCAAACACAGTACTCACAGATATAATAATGTGGTTCACTCTTTCAGAGCTAGTCCACGGTGCAACGACGACGCCTAATTTTTTTATATTCCTTTCCGATGTTGCAAAAAAAAGATCAAAGAGAAAACCCTCTCTTGATCAAAATACTCTCCAAAAATTGTCATACTCTCTCTCTATGTTTTCTCTCTTACTCTTTTGTATTCTCTTACTCTTTTGTATGAGTAATTATTTGTGGGATGAATTTTTTCTTAAAAATTTTGGGCCTATTTATAGTGTTTGGGAAAACACTATACACTAATAAAATAATATTATTTTCATGTGTACTTTTTCCTTTTCAAACTCTACGGCCACTTTTGATGGAATTAATTTAGGTGGGGCCTGCCACTTTTCTTTTATTCAATATTTACGGTTTGACAATCTCTCACTTGAAGATTTGATTGAATATCAATCATATCTTCACATCAATCATGATTACATCATCCGGATGTCTTGTATCTTTGACGTCTTACACGATCCTTAACATTCTTAACGGAGGCCATATGAGGCTGCACACAGCCTCACCTTCTCAAGCAGAATTGACTTGGTCAACATATCGACTGGATTGTACCTCGTATCAATCTTCACAAGTTTGAACTCGTTCTTGCTTTGCCATCTCCGTATGACATGATGCTTCACGTCAACATGCTTGGTTCGAGCATGAAATGCGTCGTTCTCTGACAAGTGAATAACACTCTGACTGTCGCGGTGGATGAAGTATTTCTCAAAACTTACCCCAAGCTCGAAAAGAAAAGTTTTCATCCATAGCAGCTCCTTTGTTGCCTCTGCTGCAAACACGTACTCGGTTTCGGTTGTCGACATAGTCACAGTATCCTGTAACCTGTAACTTGGATCTCCAACTTATCGTTCCACCACCCAAGATAAAGATATTGCCGCTCGTGCTCCTTCTTGAGTCTATGTCCCCGGCGTAGTCTGCATCACAAAAACCCTCTAGCTGTAAATCCGCCCTGCCATACTCAGGATAACGATCCTACGAGCATCTCAAGTAGTGTAGAAGCCACTTGACCGCGTCCTAGTGGTGCTTTCCCGATTGCTCATGAATGGTGAGAATATATGATTGATACTCAATCAAATCTTCAAGTGGGAGATTGTCAAGCCGTAAATATTGAATAAAAAAATAACGGGCCCCACCTAAATTAATTCCACCAAAAGCGGTTGCAAAGTTTAAAAAGGGAAAAGTGCACGGTAAAATAATTATTTTATTAGTGTATAGTATTTTTTCCAAACACTATAAATAGGCCCAAAACCCTTAAAAATTCTATCTTAGAAACAACTCTTCATATAGAAGAGTAAGAGAGAAAACATAAAGAGAGTTTGTGAAAATTCTTAGAGAGTATCTTGATCAAGAGGGTTTTCTCTTTGTTCTTTTCTTTGTAACCTCAGAAAGGAATATAAAAAATTGAGCGTTGTCGTTGCACCGTGAAGTAGCTCTGAAAAAATAAACCACGTTATATCTGTGAGTATTGTATTTAAATTTGTCTGCTGATTTTATTCTATGATTTCGCGTTCTTGTTGGCGTGTATCCTAACAACTGGTATCAGAGCTAGACTTAAAGTACGTATATCTGCTTATCATATGCTCTGTGACTGCTACTAAAAGTGGATCCTCCACATCAAAAAATAAGTTAGATTATCATTTACTCTTTAAAGGCACTGGACACTATTCACGAGTATGGTACTATTCATAACTACTATTATTATTAACAAATACTGTTCGAGAAAAGACGAAATCTTTCGCCATGGAATCTACAGTTGAAGACAATAGGTTTCAGATTAAGAAGTTCGGCGGTCAAAATTTCAGGTATTAGAGGATGCAAATAGAAGACTATTTATAGCAGAAAGATTTCTTCCTACCTCTCCAAGGAGTGGAGGGGAAACCTGAGAAAATGGACGACGATAAGTGAAAGGTGCTCGATCGTAAAGCATTTGTCACCATCAGGCTCAACCTTCACCAGCATGTGATTTACAACGTCTCGCATGTGATCACCACCAAGGAGTTGATGGAGGCCTTGGAGGCGCTGTATGAGAAGTCTGCTTCAAATAAGGTGTATCTGATGAAGAAGCTATTCAATCTAAAGATGCATCAAGGAGCTCGCATGGCGGACTCTTGAACGAATTTCATGTTGTGGTACAACAGCTTGCTACAGTGGATCTCAAGTTCGACAATGACATCTAAGTTCTTCTGCTACTTTCTTGTCTACCAGATTCGTGGGAGAATTTGGTAATGACGGTGAGCAACGCTAATGGCAATGACAAGATGATGCTCGACACGGTGATTGAGGCAATTTTAGAAGAAGAATCTCACTGCAAAGTTTCAGGAGCTGAGGCCTTTAGCGGTGGGAGTGCTCTGCATGTCGAGACACGAGGGCGTGTGCAGAAGAAGGTAGGGGACGACGAGGCCAATCAAAGTCCAGAGGGAAGTCTAAAAGGCCAGACCTGAATAATTACGATGAAGGAAAGTGTTTTAGATGTGGAAAGAATGGCCATTTTGCACGGGATTGCAGAGCTTCTGTTCCAGCATGAGCAGGGGATGATCAGGCTGACGATGCAGCCAATCTCATGCGCGAGACGGACTAGGATGCGCTTTTCCTATCTCTTGAAGACAAGAACGATACATGGGCCATTGACTCTGACACATCTTTCCATGCGACCTCACAACAAAAGTTGCTTTCATCGTTCGTGAAGAAGGACTTAGGGGCGGTCTATCTTGACGGTGATCAACCTTGCAAGGTATCTGGGAAGGGAAATTGTACCCTCAAGATGGAGGGCGGGACCACATTGACGCTGAACGACGTTCAACATGTACCGGATCTCAGGCGGAATCTTATATCAGTCGGGCAACTGACTGACTCCGATTGCAGAGTATCCTTCGAGCAGTGAAGCTAAAATGTGTCCAATGGTGCCCTAGTGGTAGCACACGGCAAACACAAGGGGTCTCTCTACATCGTCAATAGGAAGATCGCCCGCTTGTTTGTCGCAGGACAAGCATCATCATCATCCGTCAACTGTATGACTTGGTATCAACGACTTGGCCACATGAGCGAGAAGGGGATGCAGATTATGGCCACGAGAGAGAGGCTTTCGGGTCTGAACAAGATGGATCTGACTTTCTGTAAAGACTGCATCATAGGCAAAGAGAACAACAAGACTAGGCCGGTTCTAAAACTGCAAAAATTAAAGTTGGTGCACGTCGACGTGTGGAGACTTGCGCAAGTCTCATCTGTTGGTAACAGAATTAGTCTTTTAGCACATGCCAAACACGGTCTTTCTGCCAATTTGCGAAGCTGCTCTCATTTTCAGTCTTCCATTTTCAAAATGAATCTTCAAATGCAATAGACATGCATAAATTGAAATACTTATTGTTAAGTATATATATAATTTATATTTTATTTATATGGTTAGAACTTTGTATCTTATGAACTAAATAATATATATTTAATGGTTAATTTGTTGAACATTTGACTAAATGTTCAACAAATTGAAATAATTTGTAGTTTATTTTATTAATATTATTTTTATCTAAATCAATTATTTTTAAAATAGTTAATTATTAATTTCAAAAAAAAAATACAAAATTTATAGTCTTAGGAATGCACATATTTCAGCATACAATATTATACCATAATAAATTATCTAATCTATCACTAACTTTGCGTAAAATTTACTACAATGCAAACTTTTATAGAAACCCGTAAAATTCACACTTATACACAAAATTGTAGTAAAATTCTTCTTCTCAAAATTTATGGTTTAAATATTTCACACTTATACAATAATTTCCTACCTACCAAGGCTTATTTAAAATCTCACCCTTTTCCTTATATAACACTCAATTGCAGTAGAAAGTATAGACTAAAAAAATCGGGTTCAAATTCCATATAAATAGTAAGTTTTTATTTCATTAGATTTATTATGAAATTTCTTGTATTTTTTGTAATATTTATAAGAACCTTCATAATTAATCTAATAAAATAGTAAGCTTTTATAAGAATCTTACAATAAGAATATTCTTATAAATTTTTTAGAAATAATTAAAACAAATATTTTGAGAAGAACAAGCTTATTATGAAGATTCTTATTATAAAGTAAGTTTTTCATATTTTATCTATAAAAAATTAATATTTTATTAGATTTATCATGAAGATTCTTATAAATATTACAAAAAATATAAGAATCATCATAATAAATCTAGTAAAATAAAAACTTACTATTTATATGGAATTTGAACCCAAAATTTTTGGTGAAGACTTTCTACCACAATTGAGTGTAATATAGGGAAAGGAATGAGATTTTAAGTAAGTGTTGGCATGTAGGAAATTATTATTTAATTTGGTGGTAGGTGGGCTATTTTTTAAGGATATAAATTGGTAGGTATGGTGGGGAATATTATTTAATTTGTGGTAGGTTAGGATTTTTTTATGATAAGTTTTTACAATTTTTGAAATCTTAAGTTATATATTATAAATCTCATTTATGTAGATAAAATATCTTAATATATTAGGGAAATTTTTTCAATTTTTTAGAAATAATTAAAACAAATATTTTGAAAAGAACAAGCTTATTACAATTTTTTGTATAAATTTGAATTTTTCTGGAATTTAACATATTTATCATATTACATAATTTTTTTAAAATTGTAACTAAATATATAAACAAAATTTATGTTCCTATACTATAAAATAAAAAATATTTCTTTTTAAAATGATTTTGAAACCAAAATATATATGAATCAATAAATATACAATAAGATATATATTGCAAAAAAAAACGAATCTTCATAATGAAAAAAATAAAATCATAACTTACTATTTGGATAGATTTTAAGACCAAAAAATTAAAGGAAAATTCTTATTTCAATGATGTGTATAAGTGGGAAATGAATGAGTTCTTATAGAAGTTTTGGTAGGTAGGAAATTATTATTTAATTTGGTGGTAGGTAGGAGAATTTTTTATGATATAATGTGGTAGATATAGTATGGAATATTTGTTTAATTTGGTGGTAGTTAGGGAATTTTTTATGATTATTTTTATCATAATTTTTTCAATTTTGTAATTAAATATTATAAACCTCATTCATATAGATAATTTTTTTAATGTAAATTAGGAACGAAATATTATAGTTTTTGAAGAAATATTTAAACCATAAATTTTGAGAAGAATCTTACTACAATTTTGTGTATAAGTGTGAATTTTATAGGTTTCTATAAAAGTTTGCATTGTAGGGAATTATACAAGTTAGTGATAGGTCAGATAATTTATTATGATATAATATTGTAGGTATGATGATATATATGTATTCCTAAGACTACAAATTTTTATTTTTTTTGGAATTAACTATTTTAAAAATAATTAATTTTGATAAATAATATAAACAAAATAAACTACAAAGTATTTCAATTTGTAAAATATTTAGTCAAATGTTCAACAAATTAACAATTAGATATATATTTTAGTTCATATTATATAAAGTTCTAACCGTATAAATAGAACACAAATTATATATATACTTGATAATCAGTATTTCAATTTATGCATGTCTATTGCATTTGAAGATTCTTTTCATAAACAGAAGACGAGAGCAGCTTTGCAAACTGGAGGAAAGACGGTGCTTAGCAGGGACTAAATGACTAGTTTATGATTAAATAGCTAATAATTATGAAGATGAATGGATGAACGGCTGAGATTGATGAAAGTGGCAGAAGAATGTGAGAATAGAATTGCTGACGTGGCAATCACTGGGAGGGTTTGAGGAGGAGGGTTTGCCTTAAGGTATACATATGGTAAATGATAAAGGATAAGCCATACTGGCAACTGGGTTTATAGGATCAATGAGGCAACGACTGGTTTCTTTTTTCTCTCTTTTTTTTCTTCTTTTTTGGGTGCTTATTTTTCATGAAAAAGAACAAGTACGGAGTTGGAAGTAAATTCAATGGAAATAATTTCTTTTTTTTTCCGCTTAATGTTAGGATCCCTGTTTGTTAATTGTGTATCAGGCTCAGGTTAGACTTAGATTTGGGTTAATTGTCAGATTAGATTTGCTGTGCAGAAGATACCTACTGAGATTAAGGAAAACAGTTATTATTGATTGAGTTTAGTTCCTTTATAACATGAAATAAATATGCTGAAGTTGGCTGCATATGTTATATAGATTAGTCATGAGCATATGCAAATTAAGAGCAGTAGAAACGTAGCTGAAGTGACCATGATCATGAAACTGAAAACTTTATATAAGTACATTTTTTGTTGTTTCTTCACAGACCCTTCTGAATTGTAGTTCCATATGACTAGTTTCATGCTTCCTAAATTCTTTTAAATGCAGCGAAATGTACCTTTTGATAAAAGTGAGACAATGTATTCATTATGGTTATAATGAAAATGCCAATTGAGCGTAGTAATATGATGGCCGTCATGATTGAATATGATGTCCTGTATTGTTTATTGGGTTAAGTGCAAATAAAACCCCCTGTGCTATCACCAAATTTCGGTCCCCTTGGATTCTCAACTCCATTACTTCTTCATTTAGATTAGTTATATGTAATGACCCTATGCAAGTCTGTAGTAGGGAAATCAGTTTTAGGAAGTTCATGTGTTTCACTTTATGAACCCAATCTTAACATGAAACTAACAGAGTTGAGAATCCAGGGGGGCTATCTGCAACAATAGAAGTATAGGGGATATGTCCGCAATTTGGTGATAATACAGGGGTTTTCCCCGCATTTAGCCATAGTTTCTTTGTTGGTTATTTTAGTTGTATAGATTCATATTCATTTGTGCAGATCGGATATGTCGTTTACTTTTGTCTAGACATATCAGAATATACCTTGTGGTCACAGTATTATGTTTACGGACACTGATTTTTTTTCTGCTTGTGTACTTGCAGGACTTCTCAATCTTTCAGTTACAGGTATGAACTAATCCAAAGAGTTTCCTTTCTAAAGTGTAGACAGTGTAATGTACAGTGTATATCTTTTTCATTAACTTCTACTACTAATGTGGTGTTTATTAAGAAATTGCAACTTTCATCCGTGCTATTTTGTGTCATAACTCCATAGTCATTGCCCTTAATATAGCACATCAGGAAAAGACCTTTCAGGCTTAAGCATATTTAGCTCTGGTTTTAAGAATAAGTATGAAACTGCTAGATGCATTAAGAGCTTGACCTTGTTGATCATCTCAGGATGATCCCTTTTGTTAAATATTTTTGCAGTCACATTTTCCAAGAGAAGGTTCTGAACTTCCTGGTGCAAGCTTGGACTTATACCATAGAATTATCATGAAAATTATTCCATCTACTGTCAGTCATTCTTTGCTGTATATTCTAAATTAAGGATAAATTTCAATATCCCATCAATCTCTTTCTGATCCTTTATTCTAAGTCCTATCCAGGTTGATTAGTCCTACTCCTCATCTTAGCAGTATAATCGTGTAGTATTCATCTGCAGAGGTTTAAAGGACCGTAATGGTTTAGTAATAACCATGACGATCTGAGCACTCCAATTTCATTAGTATACTGCTTCTTGGTAAAATTCTGAAAAGATCATCTTAAATATAAACAAATACAATTTCAACCCCTAGTAAAGGACCTTTCGATTGTCTGTTCGATCAAACAATTTATACTATGGAACGAAAATAGCATTCCTAATCTCCCATTTTGCTTCTTTGTTATCTCAAATTCTGATAAATCATCATAAATGTAAACAAATACTACTACGCCTAGTAAAGGATCTTTAAGTTGCACGTTGACACAAGTTATACTAAATAATGAATAAATTGTATGCCTGATCTCCCATTTGATAGTTGCTCCTTCTAAGAACAATGTAAGTTTCTTCTTTGTTAACTAAGTTCTGACAGCCCATCATGAACATGATCCAATTTTATTTAATACCCTAGTAAAGGACCTTTAATTTACTCCTCGATCAATTTAACTTAGCTAAGGAATGAATAAATATCATGCTTAGTCTCTCATTTGATAATTTTACACTTTTCATCTTGAAATTAACTTTTTGGATTTTTTTGTGTTACATCCATTGTGGCTAGCAGGATGACCTAACTACTAATCTATCAGGATGACCTTACTACTAATCTATCTCTTGGTAGCTCTTTAGCAAAATAAGCTGCAGCCTCAAATTAATTTTCTCCATTTTGTTTACTTTAAAATGTACCGCAGTAACAGATATATTTTCCTTGGCTCCTATATTCTTATTACTGATATTTTTGATACATGTTAGATTGTGGGAAGCATGATCCGGAACTGAACAAGGAGATGGAAAAGCAATTTGTCGATCTTCTCACAGAGGAGCTCAAGCTTCAAGAAGCCGTATCAGAGGAGCACAGTCATCACATGAACGTTACCCTTGTTGAAGCGAAAAGAGTGGCTTCTCAGTATCAGAAAGAGGCCGAGAAGTGTAATGCAGCCACAGAGACATGCGAGGAGGCCAGAGAGCGGGCTGAGGCAGCCCTAACCAAGGAGAGGAGGATCACTTACATCTGGGAGCAAAGGGCTCGTCGAAGTGGTTGGCAAGATGACTAGTACTTTCCGTTTTCAACATTATATCCTCATACTGTCAACTTAGACCTTTACTAGAATTTTTCCTAGCATATTGTCATGAAATTGATGTATGTAATTTGCTCTTGGGGGAAAGTCCTGGCCAAAATGTATCGTAGTTTATTTTTTAGCTGAGCATCTGCGTACAAGCTTGATTATTTGCTTAAATTGGCTTCTAGCTGATTAACATTGTTGCCCCCATAATGCACTTAAGTGTCTAGCTTGGATGCTTCAAGATTGTATTATGTGGTGTGAATCGGCTGCTTGTCTTATGACGTAAAGGTGAGAATCCGTGTTATTTACTTGTCAAACTTGTGAATTTATAAGGTTTAGTTCAACAATTAAGAATATATGTGATTGAGCTTGACCTAGTTCATTCGGATTCAGGATGTAAAGACTAAATTTTCGGAGAAATAGGGGGGTAAACTACAAGTGACAAAAGCATAAGGCCTACCTACGTAGGTAGCAAAGTTGTGATAACTGCCTCCTTTCATCAGCTTGGATGAAATATAAAAAATCATTATAGTTACATTGATAAACATCAGGGATGAAGAACAAAGAACTAAAAAGGTCGATTTTTCCGATGGTTCGTGAGAATAGTAGGTAAGATCTTGAACCCTGAGATAATTTCTGAACGTTCATTTGCAACTACTCGGTAGATAACGCGTCTTCGATTAAATTTGATGATCGGAGGGATAGAATCATTGAACTCTAAAAACACAATATATTGCCAGGTATGACTGAGAATCACTAGACCAAATAGAGAATATAAGAAAATCCAAGCAACGTACTTGGAAAAGTATCCTTGTGATAACAACACAACACCAGTTCATTGGTCAGTCATAAATTTTCGATTTGAAAAAAAAAAACCAGTCAGAAGTTGTGAATCCCTATCCTCATTAACCTTTACAATTCAAATATCCAACCTAAACTAATCCAACTCCCTTCACTACAGTAATCTCTGCACATTGAAACCACACAGGAAACCGAGATGATATAACTAAAACCAATTACATCAGACAGTATGTTGGTCACAAGTATCAAACTTATATATCCTATTCTAGGAAAAAGGAAAGCACAACCAAACAATGGTTAATTTAGAAGCTGCCTACATTATAACATGAACTTTTCAAGGAGCGTTGAGACTGATTTGAGGCAGAAACACTCATAAGATGGACTTTAACGTTCGATGCCTCACACAACTTCACCCATCCCAGAAGAGGGTATCCTCCCGTTCCTGCGAATTCACATGAAAGCTCAATTTATATACAACAATGAATCTAACTTTCAAAGTTCGACATTGACTCAAATGGAACAGTGATAATACTTTTAAAAAAGTAGACATCGGTAGAACATAACTAAAGTGCAAGAGGGTTAAAGAGCATAGTTATTCTTTGAAGATAAAGGAAGTCAACATGCTTGCCAACTTGCGTGCACTTCAGTGATATATCAATCTGTGTTAATTGTGAAGCATGTTTATATAAAGAGGAATCTTAGAAAGTAATGTAAAAAAAGCAAATTTTTTTGCCCACCGTCTTTCTCCATTATAGTTATATCTGCATCATGTATACTTATCTGATGAATATAAAGGTAAACAATAACCAAATAACAGAATTTCTGCAGTGTCATGTCTAAACCAAAAAATAGCTCTACCTTTCAATCATATATCTAATATTTTATTTCTTTAATGTTTATCTATTGCAAACAATAGCCAACTGCACAAAAGAAAATAAAAAATAAAGTGGCAATTGGCGAGAGAATCACCTAGCAGATACCTAGAATGCAAGAGGCTTAAGGGCATGGTTGTTCTTGAAGATCAACGACCAAAATGGCCATTTAATAGGATATGATTGAAAGTATTTGTAATGTCATTAGTAACAAATAATTGAATTGTGCCAGAGGATCTATCACCCGACCTTAGAAATACAACATGAACAAAGCCTTTACTCAATATTTGAGCCAGTGGATCCATTCAGAACTTCATTTAATTGATTGGTTATTATTGTCAGATTAGAATTGCAATTATTTGATTTTAGACTATCTCCAGGTCGAGGGACTCCTCTCATATAAATATTCAGTACAAATACAAAAAAAATGAAAATGAGAAGGGTGGTAAGAAAAAATATCATGTAATTCTTTTATCAAAGGATAAATTAGAACTTTTTTCCCTCATATTAAAGGACATTAAAAAAGCATAGTAGTAGGAAATGTGACCACAACTCTACATGTTGGTCTGCAGGTCGTAGACGTGAGGATCGAGTTTTAGAAACAAAGAACATGGGTTAACTAGTGGCTAGAGACTTATATTTGGCTAAAAGAATCAGAAATCAAAACGTAGCAGAGACAAAATAGAAGTTTCAAGAAAGTAATCAACAGATGGTATTCTAGAAGGCAAGAACACATTTTGAAAGCAAACAGATATTGGAAGTTCCATTAATGTGATCCTATTTCCCCAAAAAATACTCAAATTATAAATATGACCAGTTAGCTTTCATTGCCCATAGAAAAGTTGTTTACAAGTACTCACTTTCAGTTGGAAATTACTCTTCCTTCTGAGCTATGAAATCACATTGGTTATGCAACAAGATACAATTCTCAAGAGCTTAAAAGTGAATTCAAATATGGAGAGTGCAAGACGAAAAAATAAGAAGCCATCACCCTAAGGTATTTCATCGACATTCTTCAGCTTCAAGAATTTTGATCCTGTCTAATCCTCTTCAAATAAACAAAAAAGAAATAATTTTTTTTTAAAATTAACACCTTATAAATAAAATATAAACTAGTGTTAGCAAGGTAACGAAACAATACAAAGATAGTACGAAAAATAGTTGAGCCACATATTGCTCTGACCTTTCAACACCCACGTATCTATTAGAAAAGTCATATACAACCACAACAAAAAAATAAAAAGATAGCCATTTGGGTTGGATCATGCTATTTATTATTAAAAACAGAACATTCAACATAAAGATTATCATATTAACTAAAAAACCCAAAAAAACTAAAAAGTATCAGATTACACAAAAGGTAGCAAATTTCACTAGAAGGTGACAGGATCAACTAGTATGTAGTAACATAAAGTAAAAAAATAAACTAGATTAATAAAAAGTTGGCCAAATTATCTAACACATAGTTAAATTAAGTAAAAGCAATCAGATTAAATAAAAAGTAATGATATAAACTATAAGATAGTTAGATTAACAAAAGAACTAATAAATTAAGTAAAATTTAGTCAGATTAACTAGACTATTGTCAGATTATAAAGTTTTCAGACAAGTTAGTAGGTAGACAAATTAAGTGAAACTAGAAAGACAGTAAAGTATGAACAAGTTAATTAAAGATGGACAAATTCATGTATAAAGATAGATATTTCACTGTATATTTCAGATTGTAAAAATATTCGATCCAAAAAAGTAAATTAATTAAAAATAGAAATTTTACCTATAAAGTTAATCAGTTTATGAATAACGTGAGGTAGTTTATTGCATATGCCAGATGTCAAAAATATATAAAAGTCAGAAAAAGATAATGAATCCACGAAAAAATACCAGATAGCTTTCATACAAAGGTAGCCGAACTATAAAGATAGATAAGTTGCAATATATGTATAAGTTTCCAAAATACTCAGCAATCAAATTAGGGAAGGCAACGTACATGTGAATGTTGACAGTTTAGTAGGTCGGAAAACCATCATACCATGCAAAGGTTTGAAGGAAAAAACAATTTCTGTAAAACTCTTTTCTTCACATGCTCCATATTTTCATCCTACTGAAAAGAAGATGCTACTTCATTAATTCTTGACAATTAAAATCCCTTCAAAAGATAAGTTCTACAAAAGAAAGGATAAATATGGAAATGGTTAATGTTTATCTACTCTTCATATTTCTGATTACAATGCAAGGAAAATGTCAACACCGCACATGGGCACAAAAAGTCAGAGTGGAACTTTTCCTCTCTCTCTCTCTCATCAAGGAGTTTGGCATTTAAGATTTCACATTATCTCAGGCATTGTTGAACAATAAGAAAGACCCTAGTGAGATACAAAGATAGAAATCTGGTTGTATCATTTCTAGAAGGACTTGTCCGATTGAGTTTGCAAGAAATATAATGTGTTTACTGAAAAAAGTCCATAATGGACTAGCAGTAGAAATTACAAGATTGAAGACTTTTACATTCGTAAACTAGAACCACATGTAAAATCAGTAGAAGACAAATGGATGTAATTAAAACAATTAAGACATATAGAATGAGCACTTACCGGTTTGATCATATTCTCAAGTTCATCAAAGTTGTACCCATTTAAACTCAACCCCCCTTGTAATGTCGAATTCTCCAAACAATACCCATCCTTCAATTGCCCATCCGCCATTGACTTATCATTCTTGCATTCTTGAGAGAGAAACATATTACCATAATTGGTCAGTCCGCTCATATTATTAACTGCGTTTTTTCTATACATTCCATTACCCAATCTCTGACTGTGAGAAGCATTATCAACTATAGATTGAGCTGCCATTGAGGGATTCAAGGAAGAACTGAATGTAATATTTAGTTCATGATTTTGCTGCTGACCATTTCCCATGCTCTCAAAATTTAAGTACTTTGATGAATCTTGATTAGCCCCCTTCAGCATAAGCATCATATTTCCAATTACAGCATTACTCTGAGGTGTCATCATTGTACCGCTTGGAGAAAAAGTTGAGTTGTCGCTTAATTGGGAGACAACAGTAGAAACACTAGAACTCATTGGCAATGTATTTGCACTACTAGTCAAAGGAATGGCAGGAATGGGACTTTGCCATGTATCATTACATCTAACAGAATCAAGCACATTGGACAAAACTCCAGAATTCACCTGAAAAGGTCCTGTGGATGATAATCCTCTAGGAGAGTAGTTTGTTGGTAATATTTGAGGGTTATTAATCACCGATCCAATAGAGATATTGGAGCTACAAGTTCCCATGCCACCAGCAGGAAAAGTACCAGGAAACCGGTTGTTTTGTTGTTGAATTTGGTTCAAACCCAAAGTTGCTGACGTGCTCTGAGGCAAATTCCCATGTTGGTTTCCTGTACTGAGATCACTAATAGGATTGATTGTATTTTGCATTCGGCGTGCTTGAACTAATCCAGGAGAAATGCTGTTATGTCCAAACACAGAGGGAGCTTTTCTACTAAACCCGGCATTTTGTTGAAGAGAAGGAAGCGATGTTAGTGGACTCGAAGATGCGAATGAATGGAAATCTCCAAAGGTATCCACTGTGGCTAGAGGTAGATAGGAATCTCTTACTCCAAAAGCAGCAGCAATATTTGCCTCCTGGCTTGCAACCTTTTTTAGGTATAGCCTATATTTCTGCAGGTAGTAAGTTGAGAGTCAGCTCCAACAGAATACATAAAAAATAATAAAGTAACATCAACCATAATATTGAAATCAGAATCAATAATTTTAGTAGTCTTCTCAAGTAAATTGATATTGAATAGGTTGGTTCTAAACACAAAGCTTAAATTAATTTCATGAGGACTTTGGCTGGTGTGACCGGCAAAACAAGGAATTCCAAGATATATAATTGTCAACAGTTGACAGAATATGTTTCTTCAGGAAAAAGGAAAAAGGAAAAAGGAACTAAAAATTTCTACGAAAACTAGAAACCATGATTTGTGTCCTCTAATGGTGACCATTTAATCTAATATTTCTCATGACCGGATAACAACTTGAAAAGTCTAAGGTTTGATATGCCATAGTCTCATATTGATGGAGAAAAATAGGCCGCTATGTTTCTTGAAAGAAAGAATCCAAAGAAGCATTACAGGATAAATGTACTTAGAATATTTTTATGGTTAATGTCAAATAGGACAAGATCTATTAGGTTCCAATATTTTCAGAAGGCGAAAATTATTACAACCTACCATTTCAAAATCCCAATTTTATAAATCAAAACGAACACTAACATTTCATTTCAACACTCTTACACACTTCTGTTACATGTAATGAAGTTATTCCCCAAATAGATAGTTCTTTTATTCCTTGAGCATCAACATCTTAGTGAATCATCAGGCAACATTCATAAAATTCTGCAGAATCTTAGTTTCATAAAGAATAAGACAGGTCCAGGGTCAATTCAGTGGCGAGCACTGTGGAAGAAATAGAAACTTGCAACACGAACTCTAAGAAAGTACAGCAGCCACAAACTAAAGATGACATTGACATAATCCAACAATAAGAGGGGAAAGCACAACAACACAGCATAAACACAATCACTCGCTTAGACTGAAAAATGTCAAACATAAAAATCGAAAAAGTTAGGATACAAGTCTTCTGTATTCACAAACAATAATCATAGTAAAAGCAATAGGAGGCAAAAATAGATGTCAATCCAAAACAAGCTTTCTGATAAATCAGATTTAATTTTGTAACAAATGAAAACATTTTGAGAATCCAGGATTAAAGACATGCCTGTAGATGGCTTGCAACATTTTCTCTTGTTAGCCCGTCAACATTCATAAGGTCCAGGATTCTTTTCGGTACAGCTTCTGTAGCAAAAACCAACATGGAAAAATTATAGGAAAAAATTCTCTTGAATTTATATTGAAGCCAAAAATTCACAAGTTTCAGTAAACAACAAAAAAAACTTACTGTTGATTCCCAAATGGTTAACAGCCGCCATAAACTTTCGGTGAAGATCAACTGACCAAACAACCCTCGCCTTTTTCTGTTGAGATGAATTTTCGGATTCATTCACATTCTCCTCATCTTCATCCTCTTCCTCCTCATTCTGATCCTTCCTCTTTCTATTAACTTTGTGATCTGAGGACTCACTGTTGACAGAACCTTGTCCTGCCTCAGATGGTCCTTTATCAGAATTATTATGTTCTCGTGGAACCGACTTCTTTTTCCTAATAACATGCTGCCATATATTTTTGAGTTCTTCCATTCGAACTGGTTTTAAGAGATAATCGCAAGCTCCATGAGTAATCCCCTTCATTACAGCTTTTGTATCCCCATTGGCAGACAACACTACAATTGCAAAATTTTAAAATGGGTTGCATTAACACAAATATTGCGATAAATTGGAGTTTATCACTAAGTCGACTATATCTTCCTTGCTTTCTGATCACAGCACAGAAAGTGGTCGGGAGACGATGTAAGTGACTTACTGATAACAGGGAGGTCCATTTCGAGGCCAACGAGTTCCAAAAGCTTAAAACCATCCATATCGGGCATGTGGACATCAGTGATGATCAGATCAAATTTGTCTTTGTTCTCCCTCAACATCTTCAGAGCCTTAACTGCCTGATTAGTTATTGTTACTGAAAAGAAGTAAAATTAACATTCAGATTCATCCATTGAGAAAAAGAAAACAGGAAGAGAAATAAACACCCAAAAAACTCTAAATTTCACTGGGGCAAGGGGAAGTGATAAATTCATACGCGAGTCAACTGAGACAAAACTGTCCATTAAATAAAATCCAGACAGAAGATTGACCATGAACTATAAAAGTACACACATTACAGACTCAATTCAGAGTGAATTCATGGCAGAATGTCAACACACAAGTCCAAATTTATCAGAGTACTTAAATCATTAACTTAGGAGGCCGAAAAGAAATTTTGAACATTTTACTATTTTCAGAGCAATTAACACATAAAACATACCAATCAGGTCAAAAGGCAACTTAGACTCTCAAATACCCATCATAATTAAACAAACACTTATCCACATGCAAACAAGTAACCATCCAAAACTAAAGTAAATCCTAAATACCCCCATTGACATGTTTAGATAAAGAACCAAACTTTGTGGTAAAAAAAAATCAAATTGAGAGGAACAAACCATGATATTTGCACTGGCGAAGCATAGCTTCAAGCACTTTCAGGCAAGTTTGATCATCATCCACAGCAAGAACTCTCATTCCCACAGGAAACTCATCTCTCTCTTCCCCCATAGCTTCAACTGTCATCAAAACAGCAATTTTTTTTTTTAATTCATTCCACCTTTCGACGTTGAACTGCCTCAAAAAAAAAAAGCCCCCAAATTGAATCAGAAATCAACTATGGGTCATCAAGAAATAGAGAAAGAAATATATGTAGAGAAAGAGAGAGGGGAGAGGCTTTGAAAGGAATCAAAGGACAGTTGCGCTGGCAAGAGCAAAGAAGGAAAGAGTTCAACTAAAGGAATGTTTTTGAAGAGAATTGGAGGTAATCAAATGAGGAAAGCTATCTCAAAGAGATTTACTTCTTAATTCTGGGTCTTAATTATGAATCAGAAGGAGCAATAATTTCATGGGAGTTTATGGAAGGTTTGGGATCTAGAGAGAGCTAGGGGAGGATGAAAGTAAACAGAGTGGAGGCGGCCTTTGGGAGGTCATATTTTATTTTATTTTATTTTATTTTATTTTTGACAGAATTCTGGATAAATTTAATCTGCATGTTTGCAGACTTTTAATGGGCTCATATATTAATGGTGGAGAAATTTAAAATAAACAAATAAATAAAAGGGTAAATAGTTTAGCAAACAAGTGAAGGCCTGCTGGGTTAATAATGAGATACGTATCCTTTTCTGTGAATGAAAATTTTGGGCAACTTTCAGGAATCAGTAAGCTTCTGACATTTTACAGCAATTTGCAACTTTGCTCTGAAATGGAAAGTTTTGGTTGGCTCTTGTATAGATTTGGAGTGTGCAGTGGCTGTGAGCTTTTGAGCGAGGAATTTCCAATTTACAAGATCATCAGATTTTTCTTAAGTTCGTATTTGATAATATAAGTATAATAATTAGCTGCTTATAAAGTTTTGTTTTTATTTTTAGTGAAGCTAATACACCTAAAGTATGTGGCTATGGCATACACTCTACTAGTATAGGGTTATATATTCTATGTTATTAGCAAATACACCGTACTATATGTAGATATACATTTTGTATTGTATATTTTGGGTTCAATGATAACAAAAATTTGTATCTAGAGATATGAGAACGTATAGAGTGACATGGATTTTATAGTAAATGAGGCTAAAACTTTGGGTTAATAAGCAATAACCTCTTTTTTCTCTTATTTCCCTGAAATTCTACTAATTCTTCATTTGGAATAATCTCCCCATCTCAAGGAACTATTATACGTGACATGCACACAAAATAGAAAATAAATTTGTAGAAAATTTCTATTTTTCTTTTAAGTGCTTCTCCTAAAGTTCGTTCGTGAGAGAGTGACGGCAACATTGAATCCATTTTGCCCAAATTTTAAAGTATTATTTTTTGCTTATCATCTTTTTAGTCAATATTAGACAGCTCATCAAGTAAAAAAGTTATTAGAGTGAGTTAGAAATTATTTTTACAACTAAATTATTGTTTTTGCTTCTTACGTAGCACTTCATTTGTTTATTCAAAAGTATTGGAAATTTCTAAAAGATTATAGAAGATTAAGAGATTACCAATCTTTCCCTTTGTTTATTATGATTTGGTTCCTCTATTAAAAATTTCAAACTCCTATAAGGGGCTGTTTGGTTCATTTCCAAAAAATTATGGAAATGGATTCCCACATAAGAAACCTATTCTGTAAAAATTTTAGGATATCAAAGGAATCCAAAACTTTTGTTTGATATGGAAGGATAAAATAAGGTTTTAGGAAATGGTATCCAAAACTGCTGTTTGTTTCACCCTAAAAAAATCGGAAAAGCATCATGAGAGAAAAGCACCATGAGGAAAAGCACCATGAAAAGCTGAGCTGGCACCCTCATTTCTAAAAAATTGCCCATTTCCGAGCTTTTAGACAGGAATTGGCCGTTCCAAAAAAAACACTATTTGACAAGGTTTTAGGAAACCATTTCTTAAAAAAATATGAAACAAACGCAGTTTTTGGATTTCTAAAACCACAAAAATGTTACTTTTTGTTCCAAAAACCGGGTTTTCCAAAAAAACACCCTCAAACAAACACGCCCTAAGAGGACAAACCATAATCCTTTTTGCTAAGCATATATTTAACCATATAATCATGCGGACACTTCAGCAGTCACTTTCCTTTGTGTACCAGCTCCAAGTTCCACTCAAATTTTAGCCTCCATTTAGGTTCATGTCCATGTAATTGTTGCTGTTTTTTTGCACTTTTGTAGCCCAACTTTTCTGCGATGTGGTCATTTTCATAGCTTCATGGCCAATCACTGTATGGCATGCTACACCCAAAGTTTGAGGATATGTGGATACTTTTATTTTATCTTTTTTTTTTTATTTTTTTTGGGAAGAATATTGTATAGGTAATCAATTTAAAACACATGATTGAAAGATTGATTAGGAACTAAACTTGTTTAGGTGGTTGCTTATCCAAAAAGACAATCCACATCTAATTGACGAAATTGACCTGTGCATTTCATTTTTTAAATCCTCATATAAACAAGCTTCCGTGTGAAATAACGAAGCCGTAAATCTTTGAGAGAAAATCCAATTGACCATTTTACACGCGCATACTTTTTTTTAGTCTATGAATCGGAGTCATTACGCATTAGCCGCTTTCACATAATTTAAAGAATTAGTGGGGGAAAAACTTTATTATGCATAAAAAGATATGAATCCATAACTCGTAGGGTGTTGCGCCGGAGTAAGGCCATGTTGTGCTCCTGTTGGGAGATAATCCATAACAGACTAGTCCCGTTTCGAATTTCTCGGCAGGTAAAAAACTATTGAGCCAGTGCCGGCCACAAAGCACAGGGGGGGGGGGGGTCCACGAGGTATCCGCACGATTCTTATTAATGGATGACGACTAATTACTATCCTCGTCTTGTGGCCGGCACTAGGCTCAATAAGTTTTTACACTGCCGAGTATTCGAACGCGAACTAGTCTGTTAGACATTATCTCGCCAACATGAGCACTAAACATGGCCTTACTTCCTGGCGCGCACACCGCTAACGAGTTTATGATTCATATTTCTTTATGCATAGATAAAGTTGTTTTCCCACACAATTCTTTAGAACTTACTGTAAAGCGAGCTAGCTGCGTCAATGACTCGGGCGAATTCATAGACTAAAAAATAAGATGCGCGGTGTAAAATGGTCAATTGGATTTCTCTCTCAAAGATTTACGCTTCGTTATTTCAACAACGGAAGTGTTTATATGAGGATTTAAAAAATGAAATCACAGCGTCAATATTCGTCAATGTAGTATGGTGATTGTTCTTTTGGATAAGCAGCAACCACGCTAACATAGTTAGTTTCCTAATCAATCTTTCAATCATGTGTTTTAAATTATTAACCTATCACAATATGTCTTCCCCAAAAAATATAAAAAAAATAAGATAAAATAAAAGTATCCCAAACATATCCTCACAACGCTTTGGCTGTATCATGCCATTACCATTGATTGGCCATGAGCTATGAAAAATGACCAACGGTCGCCAGAAACAGTTATGGCTATCAAAAGTGCAAAAAAACAGGCAACAATTACATCGGACCATGCCAACCTAAATGGAGGTAAAATTTGTGGAACATTGGATGCTGTACACAAAGAAAGTGACCTGCTGATAGTTTCCGCATAGGATTATACTGTTAAATATATGGCTGTAGCAAAAAAGGATTTATGGTCTTTCTCTTAGGCGTGTTTGTTTGAGGGTGTTTTTTGGAAAACCGGTTTTTGGAACAAAAAGTACATTTTTATGTGTTTAGAAATCCAAAAACTTGCGTTTGTTTCACTATTTTTCTAGAAATGTGTTCCTAAAACTTGTCAATATAGTGTTTTTTTGGAGACAGGCCAATTCCCCTGTCCTAAAAGCTCGGAAATCGGGCAATTTTTAGAAAATGCAGGGTGCCGCTCAGCTTCTTTAGGCTTTTCCTCATGTGCTTTTCTCTCATCTGATGCTTTTCCGATTTTTTTCAGGGTTGAAACAAATCACAGATTTTGGATACATTTTCCTTAAACCGGCTCTATGCTTTATCCTTCCATATCAAACAAAAGTTTTTGGATCTTCTTATATCCTAAAATTTTACAGAAGGTTCTTATGTGGAATCCATATTCCAATAATTTTTGTGGAAATGTAACTCAAACAGGCCCCTTATAGGGTTTGAAATTTTTAATAGAGGAACCAATTCAATAATAAACAAAGGAAAGATTGGTAATCTCTTATGCTCTATAATCTTTTAGAAATTTCCAAATAAACTTTTGACAAAAACAATGAAGTGCTCGTAAGAAGCAAAAACAATAATTTAGTTGTAAATAATTTTCCTAACACACTCTAATAACTTTTTTACTTGATTGTTAGGAAAATTATTTACAACTAAATTATTGTTATTTGCTATCTTACGGCACTTCATTGTTTATTTCAAAAGTATTTTTGGAATTTCTAAAAAGATTATAGCAGCATAAGAGATTACCAATCTTTCCTTTGTTTATTATTGAGGTTGGTTCCTCTATTTAAAAATTTCAAACGCCTATAAGGGGCTGTTTGGTTCATTTCCACAAAAATTATTGGAAATGGATTCCACAAAGAACCTTTCTGTAAACATTTTAGGATATCAAAAGAATCAAAACTTTTGTTTGATATGGAAGAGCATAAAATAAGCGCGGTTTTAGGAAAATGTATCCAAAATCTGTTTTGTTTCACCCCTAAAAAAATCGGAAAAGCATCATGAGAGAAAAGCCACATGAGGACAAAAGCCCTATGAAAAGCTGACGTCGGCACCCTCATTTTCTAAAAAAATTGCCCATTTCCGAGCTTTTAGACAGGGAATTGGCCTGTCTCCAAAAAAACACTATTTTGACAAGTTTTAGGAACACATTTCTAAAAAAATATGAAACAAACGCCAAGTTTTTGGATTTCTAAACCACAAAAAATGTTACTTTTTGTTTCCAAAACCGGTTTTCCAAAAAAACACCCTTCAAACAAACACCGCCCTAACGAGAAAACCATAAATCCTTTTTTGCTACAGCCATATATATTAACCATGTATAATCGCTATTGCGGAACACTTCAGCGTCACTTTCTTTGTTACAAGCCTCCAATGTTCCACCAAATTTTAGCCTCCATTTTAGGTTGGCATGTCCATGTAATTGTTGCCTGTTTTTTTGCACTTTTGTAGCCAACTTTTCTGCGACCTGGTCATTTTCATAGCTTCATGGCAATCACTGGCTATGGCCTGCTACAGCCAAAGCGTTCTGTGAGGATATGTGGGATACTTTTATTTTATCTTTTTTTTTTTATTTTTTGCGGAAGAATATTGGTATAGTAATCAACTTTAAAACACAATGATTGAAAGATTGATTAGGAAACTAAACTTTGTTAGCGTGGTTGCTTATCCAAAAGAACAATCACCATCTACATTGCACGAATATGACCTGTGATTTCATTTTTTAACATCCTCATATAAAACAAGCTTACCGTCTGTTGAAATAACGAAGCCGTAATCTTGAGAGAAA